TTTTTTTTTTTAAATGCTTTAATTCAATTCAGCTTGTTATTACGCATAAAAACTAGGTAACATCACATAAATGACAATCCATAGCATCATTAAAAAATGAAATAGAAACTAAAGGAAAAATAATAAACGGTCATTTTACATTCATAGCCTCATGACAAGAGTAAATAGTTAAAACATATAATAAACTTAATATAACACATTTGCCTATACTGCAAGTGTGGCATTAGGGTAAGTGACCCATCTGGTGCCATTATAATGTCTATGTTATATGTGAAAATCAGCAAGGAGGTTTTAATAAAGCACCAATTTTCCCTAATTTACTGAACCAGGCAGCAGGCAGGTCTCTGTTCCAGCCTTCCATACTGCCCCTCACTGAGCAACGAGAAGGAAGATAACCAGCTCTGGTTTGAGTCATCTGGATCTTATTAAGCTCTTGGTTTGATACACTGGACCAGATTGCTGAACACTAATCAAGAAAGTGTAAGAGCACGCTCAAAACGCCCCTATTAATGTCAGCTAACCATGAAAATTAAATGTTGACACCCAGTAATTTGGTGTTTTTAACCTGATTCCACCACATTTAGCAAGAGCGCAGATTTGTTTGAGATTTTAAACTCGTGGATAACAGCTTTAGTGACCAGTGGAAATGATTTTTGATATCTAAAATTCAATTCTATAGATACTGCTATATTTCAGCTATCACACACCCAAGGAAATGGTAGACAACATTCAAAATAGCAAATACATATTATTTGGTGCGTTAAATAGCAGTTGGACAAACAAAGCCAGATGTGCTGGTCCCTTTTTTCTTCTTGTGCTTCATTTTCTTTCTTTCTTTCTTTTTCTTAAAAAACATTTTAAACCTCTTTTGCTCCCTTTCTGTCTCTCCTTGTCTGTGGTGTTTGTCACTGCTACGTCCCAAGAGGCATGGCTTCTGCTGGTCACGCTGGTTCTCTGGCTGGTGCACCTGCTCTCCGTTAACTGCTCACTCACCCTCTGAATTTAAACACCAGCTCTTCCACCCACTCTTTGCCAGATCTTTCTGCCAGCTCTGTGATTGTATCAGTCAGGCTCCCTGATGTTTTGGGGTTTTTTTGTGATTCTTTGTGCTTTTTTTTTTTTTTTTTAATCACTCATTCATAGCTTCACTCGTATCTGTACTGAAGGTCATTTGCTGTATAATGGTAGAGCTTCTGAAATATTAATATAGTTTACTTAGCATAGAATAGCTCTCGAGTTAAATTTTCCATCTGCCTTTGAAGATCCAGTATTTGTTTAATTATTATTTATTTTATAAGACTTCTCCTCTTGAATAATCAGGCCTCATTTTATCTTAAAGACCTCAGAGTATCTTATCATCCCAACAGGGCACTTTTCTCTCAGACTGCAGCCTTATTTTTGGTTCCTATTATATTAGCCTATTAGTAGCCTATTTAATAGTAGAATGGGAGGCAGAGCCTTCAGCTTTCCTGCTCCTCTTCTGTGAAATCAGCTCCCAGATTGGATTCATGAGGCAAACACCCTCTCCACTTTTAAGATTAGTCTTAAAACTTTCTTTTGGGATAAAACACAAAGGCTACAGCTGGACCCAGAATGATCAATGAATTATGCTGCAATAGATCTAAGCTGTTGGTGGACTTCCCATAATGCACTGACCGTTTCATCTTCACGTAACTTTTTTTTACTCTCCATGTGTTTATACACTAATATGCATTTAATCATGAGTTATTATTAATCTCTGGCTCTCTTCAACAGTGTGTCTTTTCTCCTTTCGCCTCCAATTGGTTGTGGCAGATGACAGGGCCTCCCTGTGCCTGGTTTGCCTGACGTTTCTTCTTGTTAAAAGAGTTTTTCTTTTCCACTGTCACCAAGCGCTTGCTCATGGAGACAATCTATCAATCTATCTTAAACTGAAAATGAATTGAATTGAAACAAATTCTCTGGGATGTTTGGTTGTGCTTTGTTTTGCAGTGGTCACATGTCAGCTGCAGTTGTTCCTCTCTTCTACATAATCCATGTGACTTTGGTCCACTTTGTTTTTGCTGTCTTGCTGTTCTAAACGTGGTGTGTCTGGTTTCAGGCAATGACTAGGCTGGGGTTTACACAAACCCTATTAACCTTGTCCGTTCTGCATTCATATGAATCTGTTCCACGTGAGCTGGCTGGCTGTAATGTTAAGACGTGTTTCTGCACCTTTGAATTACATTAAAGTCACCCCCCTGAGCTAGCTGCATTCTGATGGTATTGTCCCTTGTGCAGAGTTGCACGTCTGTGAGATTGAAGACTCCCCTGAGTGGCTTTTGGTGGACTAGACTATTACTTGAGGTTCAGTAGCCTATTCTCTATAATGGTTTTCATTAACTGAAATCAGACATTTATCTGACCAAACACTCAGTCACACTAGCAGAAGCATGAAAGCACTTTAACTTTATTTACTGTAAAGAACAGCGATTCCCGGACAAAAGGATGGAGACAGCTTGTCAGCAGCCCCACACAAACCCTGTGTAATAGAAAGGTGAAAGGTTAAAATAAAAGAGCTTATGCCTAACAGCTTTGCTTCACAAGTAATTAGAGATGAGCGTCCTTTACCACAGCAACCCATTTTTTTTCTTTCTTCTCTTTTTACATCAGTGAGTTCCATCCTTCATCAAACCAACTTCACGTCACAAAAAGAAGCGCATTAGCCCTATTAGCAAGTTAGGTGTCATCATCTACTGGCTTACCATAGTAACTGGTCTCCAGTTTGCATAAATTATACAATAAATTTACTGATGGCATGTGCGATCTATGCAACTTGGCATCTTACTGAAAGAAAAGCATCCTTTGTGTGATGTCAGGTCACTGGTGAAGTGAAAATAAAACTTATCTTTGATGCTTTACTCAGTGTCCTGCTAATTCCACTGGGCTCACAAAACATTTGTGTGTCATCACGTTGTTCCGAGATGTGTGTCGGGACTCTCATTTTAGCAAACGGAGTGGTTATCCCAGTGGAAGATGGTGTTCACTCGACTGAGTGTGAACAGGTCTTTAGTGTTGCTGTAGTCAAAGCCTTTTTCCACGTTTGAGCTCTGGGAGATGAACAAAACAGGCGCGCAGACAATAAAACAAAGAAAAACAAAGCACTTTATACGGGCTAAGAGATTTTTAGTGTTAATGAGTAACTTCATTTATCATTGCACAAGCATGAAAACAACCTTTTGTGTCTATGTCGTGGGCGGGGTGGTGGTCTAATTTTCTCAGGCGTGCGGTTGTAGCTAAATTTAAAGGTTGTAGTTTTACACATGACGCCGTTCGCGTGCAGTTGAAGGCACCTACAGGGCAGTCAGAACTGGACTCCAGCCAGACAGCAACAACTTTCAAAGTCTGTGGACAACAGCACAGCTGCCTTTGTCAAAAACACAAGCTAGTGTTCATCAAATGTTCATCATCAAAACTCTTGTGCTGTGCAGATTTTACTTCATTTTTAATTCCCTGCTGTCACTTCAGTTGCAGTTACTCTTTGTAACACTGATGCCTCCCTCCCCTCTAAAAGCCGTCTGGCAGTTTTTGGCAGTTTACTCATAGTGAAAGGCTCTCGAGGCTCTCGTTGCATTTTTTTTTTTACTTTGTAACGTAATGTGTGTAATGTAATGTCTGGCTCATGTGCCTTCTGGCCAATGTGCAGCATTAAATCAAGTTTTACAGGTAACCTCCAGTGTGTGTACATCTACCAACATTTTTTTGTGTGTAATAGAAAACTGTAATTTCATAAATCCTGACCATTAAAATGTATGGGAATAACACTGCATCTGTTAATTTGGACAATTCATTAATAGCAGGCAGCACATGTTAAATAACCATATAAATGAGGTACAACATTAAATATAGACTATTTATCATGACATATATTAAAATCGTCAGCATACACTTTAAGCCAGATGTTGTGCCCTTGCTGTTTTGTCTGATTTGTGTGTAATCTACAGTGGCTATAAATGTTGTGAAATATAATAAATTTTAGGTGACTGTGCTTTGACTTGAATGTGTGCAATATGTTTGTTCCCTGTAGGATGTCTTCAGGCTGTAACTGAATTTTCCCCTAATCAACCACAAACAAAAAGGACCCGCATGCACAGCACAGACAAACACACAAAGGGTTAAACAACAATAGTCGTCAAATGAGCCTCTAAAGGAGCATCAGGTGAGTCCAGCGTGTTGAAAGCGTGCACCTTTGAGGCTCGGATGTCACCAAGAAGGGCCTTTTAACTCCAAGACAAAATACACGGTCCTTTTAATCCTCATTTCCATTTGCTATATCCCATACAGTAAGCACATGAATGACAGAGGGCAACACAGAGTCCAGTCACTGAGCATATAGAGACCACTTCCTAACAAAAACACAAAGTCCACAAAGTTCCCGGAGCTGTCTTTGTAGAGGAAGTCTTTGATCTCTCAATGCGTAGAGACATGCAGTGAAATTGCTGGAGAGAGAACACAGTGTGTACGACTCTGCTTGCAGACAGCTGCTTATTCACAGTTAGGTTTGAAAAGTGCACACAAGGTACGGATCGTGTTAATAGCTCGATGAGTATTATCTCTACTGTACATCTTTATAATACCATAACACGTAGTGTTACAGAGCTCAATGTAAGACAGCAGTACTTATCAAATGTAAAAATAAATGACATGACATATCAATATTCACAAAAACTATCGGAATTAATTTCACAATATCTACAAATTCACAACTTAGTAGTACTATTCTGAGCAATTAGAATTGTTGCCATTTAGTTGAATCATTTGTTTAGTTTGCCTATTTTATCTACAGCTTTCTACGCATCAGGAGTTTTGCATAAATGCTGTTGAGGTTACGTCGTATAAAACATAGAATATTTAATGCTGTACTGAATAGCATAAATATATTAATATAGTAATATAGTCTTAATATACTCTATCTCATATGGATGACATGTTTCTGCTGAAGTTAACTCTGGCCCTGTGAGAAAAGGATTTACCACGTGACTAACACAATCATAGCAGAGCCTAAATGGCAACAGTACAGTGGAGTCCTGCTCATCGAAATCATCCCAGGAATGTTCAAATCAATCAATCAATCAAAACGAAATAAAACAATTACCACAGGTGTACATGCAGACTCTTCAAAACACAGTTTTTTCTTACAATTTCTAGTTTTAAAAACTGCTCAGATTCTTATTTCTGCACTATGACATGTGTTGGCTGCTATGGTCTTTCCAAGCAGACTGGATGACGATGATTACGCTGTAGTTTAGCGGCAGAGTGAAGTGGTCGTGGTCTTATAGCTCCAGGAGTGTTTTACCCTTGTTTGCTAGTCACAAACACACAACATATGTGGATTTAAATTTTTTTTTATAACTGACGAGGTGTAGAGAAGTATGTTATTCTGTAAATATTTACCTTGATCAGTACAGTCAGCACAGCTTGGCAGTCACACTAATTTCATGTTGTGAATGGGGTTAGACATGAGTTTATGAATGCTGTAGTACACATGAAATCACAAAGCAAATTGATCTTTGGTTATCACATTATACCAGATCCTGACATGACAAGGGTCTTTGGGCATATTAAGTAAAGTGACTGTTTCTGCTTAGAAGTACGTACCTACAGTACATTTATCCCACTACCCAGAAGAGTCATACACAAACATTAATGCTGTTTAGCAGCAGCCAGCAGGGTTTATAAACCCTCAGTGGATGTGTAAAATGGATCATTTTGTTTGAGACTAAATTCTAAAAAAAAAGAAGAAATAAAGAAGAGGAAACAGGGTGTTTTCATTGAAAAGTGTATAAATCAATGAAATGTATCGGATTAAAAAAAGCTATACTGCGCCGGGATGATGTGTGGTGTTCAGAAATATTTAGAGGTAATACGTATCATTAAGACACAGCGACGTGCTTCACCCTGTTTGTTATTATACATTTAATTTGCCCGATGAAATGAAATGAATTTCTATTCCTCGATTTCAGTGCAGAGGTTAGTATCACGCCTTATTTTGCCATTATAGCCACTGTGTTTCTAATGTCTGTATAAGGTTTACAAAGAAATGCACATGCTGTTGCAATTTAGCTGCATGTGGAAGAGAGAGATAGGGTCTAGCTTTGTGTGCATGTCCACATATGTATGGCTTGAAATTAGACGCACTGATTTATTGTAATGGCTAAAAGAGTCAGTGCTCTACAAATAGCCACTGATTACATTTTATGATAATAAAAATGTAAATATCTTATTTGTTCTTTATTTGATTATATATCAGTTTTTAAAAAATATAATAATACATCTTGTGTTAAATTGTACACATAATATATAATATATATATATTTGATAAGAATAGCTTGTTTTCATCATGTTATATGTCGGCTAAATTCACAACTTGTTCGATGTACTTAACTTAATTCTTTCAATCACAGAACAAAATTTTGTATTGTATTGTTGTTGTCCTGTATCTTCATGTATGAACTGGCTTAACATTATTTAAGATGACTGCAGAGCCAGTTCAGTATGTGCGAACTGTGCGTGTGTGACCAAATAAGGGTAAAAACACTCCCAAAACTCTGTACCAGCTGTAAAGCATAAACATTGCATTAGTATGCACAAATAGTTGGAATTATGCGTGTTTATACAGATGCTGGGTTATGAGAGGTTATGAGTAACTGGGATGAAGTACAACACATTGATACCAAGCCCTATTTCCTTAGTGACAAACACCAATATTTGAGGCCAAAGACGAAAAAACGTGTACAGACTTCACCATGCATTAAGCTATGACTGAACACTTCTACGTGGTTTGTATTAACAAACCTTTACAGGTGCCACAACACGGTTCACTCACTGTCCTAAGCTTACCACTGAAAATGGTAAGCTTAATGTATGAAAGAGTATCGAGTACAGTGGTTGTCAGAGCTGGTATTTAACATGATGAAAAACAGTTTGCTTAGCATAAAAAGCAACAGAAATGGCTTTAGAGTTACACCTGCATAAATGCTTAGCACACATAACACAGAGTGTCACAGGAATACAGACACCGCTAAACAAATCAGAGACAAATTCAATGCACGAGCGATCATTGCTCCATCGTTAGTGGCTCTTTGGCGCGATCAGAACAATTTGTTGTTGTTTTATTATTATGAATTTTGCAATGCAACTGTCGCCAGCGATGGCAGTGTCTCCGAAATGTGTTCAGAAATGCTGCATGACTGTGACTCGACTTTTACTACAAAACACAGTATATGGAGACAGTCAAATCAACACCGATCAACTTTACACGATAAAGTATAAAAGGGCAAAAAATACAGCACGAATCAAAACGCTTGTGCATGAGTGTGGCTACGGTGACCGATGGAAACAAAATAAGGGTGAAAAACAAAAACAATAAAAAAAAAAGGTTTCAAGGTGCCTGCTCACAGTTTACTTAAAGGGCGAGTGTCTGCTATGATTTAATGTGTGAAACGTGTCACGTTATTTGCATTTGAATGGCGAAAAAAAAAAATGTGTGAATTCGACTTCAGTCTGAGGTAATGGCGGTAGTTTGTAATGACTGCTCAGCTCACAGAGATGTCAAAACATAAATGGCACACGGACTATGATATATCCTTTAATATCTTTGCTTCAGCTTTTCACTAGTGCTGAAAGGTCTGTTAGCCTTCGGCACTCATGGGAAACATTTACACTTTATACCCATCTCCACCGGCGCGGTGCGTGATGCACAGCCCATACTGCACTACACTGCAGAGCATGGATGCCAGTTTATAAATGTTTGTATGTAATGTAAACACACAGACCGTTGTCTATATGTGTGGAAATGCAAGTGTAAGCATGTCAAAGCCTTTTTTGCTTCGTGATGTGTGTATTTACCAAGGCACGTAGCTTCTCTGTCGTAGGACATAGCCAATTAAACCTCAAAGAGCCACTGAACTAGAAAATGTACAGGCAGCCCAATGAGACGCGAAAGCAGTTGCAGATAATACTGTATTGGGACTGTTGAACTTCACCGCAAGCTGAAGGTCAGACACTGATGATTATTAACGATGTTCCTATGGACCTACACAGGCTGCCCCCAGCTAACAGAATAACAGTAAAGCGACCAGCAAATGGCTCTCTTGGTGTCTTCTGATGCATGTGTTCGTGTGCATGTCTGCATGCATATCTCAACTCAATGCACGTGACAGTCTTATTATTGGTAATGAGCTACAACGAGAACGTTGAACGCATGCTTGCCCTGACTTATCATAAGAAAAGCGCAAACATGTCCAAATTTGGTGGAAAATGCAATTTGACTACTCTACAAAACAGCAAGCCGTCAAAGGTACAGCAAAGATCACCGGGTTACTCACAACAGAGAACAGGGCCAGAGCTAAGTGTGGAGGGGACGAAACTAAAAAGAAATGCTGCACAAACACAGACTGACGTGACAATGTGCTTCCTCCACGGTCCACTACTCTATGTGAATCTACTGTATGGTCAAATTTGCCTTCCATCTATACGGACGTGCAAAATATCAGATGCCTAAGAAAAAACAGACACACAAAACATGCGCGCACACACGTACACACGCACAAAAAAAGATGTAATGGACTTGGCACACCGAAACCAAACCCAATCAAGCCGAGCATTTGGTCAGACTCAGTTTAGGTTGTTTGCCTTCATGATAGCGGGCTTTCTGTTGACATATGTGGCCCAGTAACCCAAGTTGAAGATGAAGAACAAAACTGGGAAAATGATGCGTGATATCTTGTCCACTTTGCTGACGCGGTTGTAGGATTTCTTGGCCTCTATGTAGGGATCAGGCATATAGGGATGCTTCGCCGATGCTCCCGCGCTCTTGGAAATGGTCGTTAAACCTTGATCTTTAGCTACGTTGATGGCGTAGGTGGTTCCGACAATGTTGAAGGTGTTGTTCGCCTTTTTGGACAAAGTCGCAGATTCTCTTCTCTGAAAAGGAAGAAGGAAGTAAAGCAAAGGTCGTTAGGAAGGGGGGGGCACCAGACTCAACCATACTTCCATTTGAACTCATAAAGAGGAAATAGAAGCAACACCACGAGACACGACACACACAAGAACAAAACAAAAGCCTAACCATATCTTTAATCCTGGCCATGTTAGCCTGAAACGGTTCCTGAAAAGAAAAGTAGAAAAGAAAAAAAGTTTACCAATTATATTAAAATTACCCAACTTACATACTGTATTCATCAGTATCTAGCTGGAACTACTTTTGAACATACCGTCAAATCAAATCTGCATCATACAAATCTGGATTGCAGAACGTAAAGGATCAAGATCGAAAAAAAGAAAATCATGATAGGAATAGTTCTGATTTGCATCATTGCAGAACCAGGCTGGACTGGCGTCTGATACTGCTAGCAGTAGCAGTAGCAGCACAGAGCAGGATTAGAAGGAAAAGCAAAATAACAGCGCCTGAAAACATGTCTGACAAACTGTATCAATGAGAGCAGCCAGACCTCTGCAGGCAAACAGATTGCGATACAACAAACACGACAAAGGCTCTGTGTGATAAAGCTGGCTGGAGAGACTGCCGTCTTAGTTCTACTAGAGGGAAATCATTAGACTGTCTTTCATATTGAAGTCGCACAGGGAGCCAGAATTTTATTTGCTAAATTGGTACTGGCTCAAATAGCTAAACTTGCATCACTAGAGGATCCTGTCAGCCTAGCGAAGAACAGTACAGCGCACACAGTAGATGTGGGAGAGCAAGTAGGACACTAAGATTGATTACCAGGCAGAGTTTTAGTTTCCTGTGTGGCATCCAGTGTGCGAGTCTGTACTGTGGTAATTTCCTTCACACCATTCATCCCCACTGTGGCCACTTTAAGAATCTAATTCAGTGCGTGTCTTGTAACAGATTTTCACTTTCACAGCTCCCCCTTTTCACTTTTGCTTTGAGCCCAGTTTTAATTTTTGCTCCACTTTTTTTTTTTTTTAGCTTCATTTAATTTTCCTTCCTTTTTGCTTCTCTCCATCTTTTTAATTAGCATAACTAATGTCCCCTCTACCCCAAAGTGCTTCACGGTGAATCTCTTACAGCGCACAGCTCATCACCAAATATTTTGTTTGGTCTTTATGCTCAGTGTTCACATATACTCACGAATGGAGGCACAGCAATGGTTTTACACGTGACAAGACATGTGCCGTGGCTATGTTCAGTGTCTCGAGTGCGTGTAAATCTCACAGGGAGTCCTTTTTAATGTCTGCCAGTAGGTTTTGCTTGTTTGTTTTTTTTTGACTTTGTACTGGAGGCAGCAGGATTGAGGAGGAAATATATTTACTGTCATAAGTGTTTCCTTGAGTGAGCAGGGCAACAGGATGAGTATGATCCTTCAACCTTGAGGAGAGCTAACAAACTTGCAGGCAGTTGATTGCTTTAAACATAGGAATGGTGAACCGGTGCTTGAAGCACCTGCTATCTTAAGTCAATTTGAACAGAAAAAGAAAGAAAGACAGAAGAGTCACACTCTTGCTCCCAGATAACCAGGTACCTTTCAATGATATTGATTCTAACCCAGAACGAGCTGCTCTATTGGAGGTTTCTGTCAGCAGGAAAGGCAAATTACTACAATATCACGCATCAGGGATACATCAATTGTAGTAACAATATAGCTCAATATGGCTACCCGTCACGCATCTTTAAAGAGCAGAAATTCAGTCATAAAATTTGTGAAACTGGATCGACTGCAAAATGGATGGAACACAGCAGATAGCCATCAGTCACTGCCAGTGGTGAGTGTCATGTCCGACAGTAGAATGACTTGGCTGATGAATATGTGTATCCGAAGTGGCAAACACCAGTCCTGAGAAATGAAGCCAAACCACAACTTGATTTCCTCTAATGGCCACTTGAGACTGGCTCCAAACGCAAGTCCACACAGACTCCTGTGTTTTCACAGCCTGCTACAAAAATCAGTTTTGGCCGCAATAGCTAACAGACACTCAATTTTAGCCTCGATAGCTAATGACCGCTATACCTTTTGCCACTGTACCTGTCAGGCGCTATTGTTTTAGCTTTGATTGCTAGCAGACAGTATATTTTTAGAGTTGATACCTAACAGATGCTATATTTTTGTCCTCAACAGCTAACAGATGCTAACAGATACTACCATTCTGGCCACTATAGTATCTTCACGGAAATTGTATTAGAGGCCTACGGTATGTATGTTTGGAGAGGGAGCTTCAAATTAATAAGTATGTAGCTGCTTTGAATGACAGGTGGGTGCTAACAAAAGATTCTGTAGTTGCTAACCGCCTGTTTGCCTTCCCCTGAGTTAACTTGAATGGCTAACTTGAGAAAACTCTCAAATGTTCCTGCGGTGCTGCCTTTAAGAGCATTTTTAATCAACAGTAATACTATGTTTAGTTCATTTGAGTTCTCCACCAGTCTGGAGAAGAAAGCCTGAATGAAAGTGGTTATTAGCCTGTATTTAGAAAACATAAATTGCAATTTTATGGTCGCTAAATAAGAGGTCAGTTTATGTCTGTTTATAGTGAAACTTTCAGTGAGTACTAAAAGTGTTTGGCCATCTCAATTTAACTTGCTGTACATTATGAAGGCTGTGTACCAAACTTCTAAAACCAATTTTCATACTGATCAGCGAATGTTCTGCACTTACACCTCTAAGCTCTAATAATACCATCCCAAACTGCTCAGTCTTTTAGACTATGGATGCTATCTGCACAGTAATGTAGCAAATTTTCTGTTCTTTTTTGCTGTTCCATTGTCCTTGTAGGTAATAATTTATATGGTCTAATTATTGGGGGAACAGTATGTAGCACTGGGCTGTATGCATGTTTTTATGAACCTTATGTAACAGAGCACATAATTCACTAGCAGCCACAGATTCCTGTGTACTATTCAAAGTCATTTCAATAGCTGCAGGCAAAAATACTCCATGAATACAATGCATCTATTGACCTTGTCTTTGTAACTTCTGAAAATTGTTGCATCAGAATTTCTTGATGAGTGTGTTTAAGTGTCCTGGGGGTAATTGTGCCTTGCTGTGTCCTGCTGTTTGGAGCTCAGTGTGTGCATGTGTGCGTGTAACTGAACCTTGTGACAGTCTGTCCCTCTCTAAGACTGGAGCTGAAGTGTTGGCGTAATAAATAGCCCCAAGTATGTGAGCATGTGGGTATGTGAGTGTGCAGACTGTCTATAGGGAGCCACGATGTCCCTGTTTGTGTTCCTGTGGACACGTTTTGACGTGAGCATTTAAGTGTGTATTTAGGTAGAGGCACTTGCACTATCGAAATTTGGAGGAACTTGCTAGTTGCATGGGTGGCCTCTCTTAATAATTATGTCATTTAGTTATGATATTATATATAAACATGAAATAGACCTTTCTGATTTCACTTAAGGATGTGTTAATGTACACTATATGGAAAAAAAAGGATTCTAACATTTTAATTCAGGTGTTTTCTGTCCTTTTGCCACAGATCTATGAAATCAAACACCTAGCCATGTGGTCTGCCTTTACAAACATTTGTTAAAGAAGGAGTCACTCTAAAGAGTTCACTGATTTCAAGTGTGGCACTGTAATAGGGTGCCATGATGGCAACAAGTCAGTTCGTAAAAGTGGCAAGCTATTCCACAAACAGCTGTGAGAATCTTGAGAACTGGATGAACTCGGGCAACATAAATTTACAGAGTGGGGCTGCCATGTGCTGAGGTGCATAGGGTGTGAAAGCCACCAACAGTCTGCTAACTCTGGCATTAACATCAGCACAAAAATGGTGCACCAGGAGATTCATGACATGGGTTTCTTTAGGAGAGCAGTTCCTGTAGGGTCTAGTGTGTAGGCGGCCTATTACATTTGTTAATATAGCATCGCATGGAAAACGCCAACAACAAGGGGTCAGCAATTTAGTGGTATTTCATGCTTGCTACATCAAAAAACTTGTACAAAAGAATGCTTCCAAGTATCCTCCTTGCAGTGAGGAACACAGCTTAACACCCAAGTATCTCTATCATTATTGGGACTGAAAAAGTACAAAAGTGCACCCCTGGCCTCCAGAAATGTCAACTCACCTTTGTTCTTTCCACCTGAGTGCATCAAAACTTCCAGAATACATTCCACTGACATGCAAGTGCTTGTGCTAATAAGAGATAATGAATTATTCTGGTAAAATGTTGATGAAGTTATTATGTACTGCAGGTGCGTAGACACACACATGCGCACACACACGCACACACGAAACCGCGATCACCCCTTGGCCGCTGCAGAGCAACCCACAGCCAGTGCAACCCACAGCCAGTGCTTCTGCCTCTGCTGATAAAACAGCACATGATATCCAACATAGCAGTGTCCAATCATGTGTCACAGGGTGCCGAGAATATGCAGGCTTTTCCAACCAAACTCCCCACCGGCTAATTTCTGTAATAACCTCACCTTCAGCCGGAGAGGGGAGAGCTAATTAGGCAGATTGCCTGTCACAGAAAATGGTCGAATAAAAGCAAAGGAAAACTACATCGATGCTCCATAACCAGTAAAGTAAATTAGTGCGCACACACTCATCTGTGGATCATATCTGAGACCTAAAAAAAGAAAGCAGCCTAAGGGTGATGAAGTCATCATTTGGTTCCGGTAGGAGTGGTGGCTGAAACCCTAGCTCTGATGGCTGCGGGGCTAGATTTTTAAAAAAGACTTACTAGCTAAAACTTCTCTCCTGAAGAAGAGGTTTTGCTTATGTAGCTCGTGCTCATTAACAGTCATTTTTCTAAATTTGCTAAAAAAAAAAAAGGGAAATATATGCAGTGCCTGATTGCTTTGGATTCCAGTAGCTCGTTCTAGCAGGCAGTGTGTTGGTAGTGCCACGTCTCCCTCTGTGACCCCATTCTATTTTATCTATCATGACAACTGCATGCTCAGCACAGTCCCTGAGAACACAGTCCAGGCTGTTGCCATTAAGACGAGCCATCAAAGAAGAGGGGCGGGGGAAAAAAAGAAAAAGAAAAGAGAAAAAAACCTCCTCTCTGCAGCAGTGTAACGCAGCAAATTATCCCCACCAACTGAAAAGTTCTGTGGCAGCAATATGCATTTCTGCCAATCGCTCCAAGGACCAAATGTCAAACTATAAAAAAAGCGGGGAAAGGCTGTACTGATTGTGTCAAACAGTTTGTACAATGGTAGCAGAAAATAGATTCGTGGCACTGTCTGTCACAGAAGAAATAACTTTCCCTTTATGTTGTGTCTGTGGCTGTGTTTTTATGCGCTCACAGCAATACAGTAATAGCACTGCCACTATTTACCACTGGCACAGCTTCATAATGTTTCTTATATGAGTCTTATATGTTTTTCCAAGCACCCCAGAAGGCTGTCCTTTTAATATAGCTTTGCTTATAAGCCACAGTTAATACTCCTTTTCTCAGTTTGAAATGGACTGTGTTATACATATATCAGGTAAACTCATTTTAGCTGCACAATTACTAACTTATATTAGTCTTTTTATGCTGGTGTGCTTTGTTTTTATTGTTCTAATGTTCAGTTCTATGTACCAGGTCTGTCCTTATTGAACTTAAGCTACTTCTTCATGCAGCCCCCCCTTTTTTAGATGAACTCACTCTGATCATAGACTGTATATAAAAGATGGGTGTAGCCACCAAGACCCTGTTTTGTTTTTTTTGACAAAAACAGGAAAAGTCTGACTGATCACCCCAAAGCATACCCAGCCTTTTGCTCCTTTTTGAGTCTAATGAGGACAGAAAGCTGTAAAAAGAATATCATGCTCATTCAGTATGACTTGGCTGGGGACTGCAGAAAAGTGTTTAGTGAAGTCAAAGTTTAAGTGAGCAGTAGGGTCATTTCCCCAAAGAGAGACTTCTTCTTGCATCCAGAGAAGTTGCCTCCTGCTGGCCACAAGAAAGAATCCAAACCTGAGCCACTTTAGCACTTTCACTTTTCAGACCTGGAAGCTACGTCAGTGTTTTATATGCAGTCTATAGTTCTAACTGGCTGACATGCAAAATGCTCCTCCAAGAATCTCTCCATGGTTCCAATGTCAGTGACTCACTATGTATGTTAAGAGAAATAAAGGTGATGTTCAGTACATGCTAAAGTCTTTTGCTTTTGACTTTCTAGGAGCATTTTTACATATGTCTATCTAAGGCTTTTGTAAAAGACCTAAATAACATGAGAATCTTATATCATAACAGTAAATGACACAGCCTGATTTTAAACTGGTATTTAGTGCCTGGTGAGATTGATGTTAAAAGAAAAGAAGACTATTTTGATATTTAATGTAAGTTTTTAATCTGACTTAGTTTCTTTCATTTCACTATGTCTGTGTGCCTACAATTGTTTTTGATTTAATGCTATCATTTACAAACACATGAAAAGTCCACCAGAGAGGCTCACCCTGGGCAGGATTAACTTTTAAGGGAACAGCAGAGTATTTTATGTGGGAGTAGGTAATAGATAATAGGTATGGATTTGTAAATGATTGGATATAATTATTATATTATTATATAATATTATACTACTGTACATATTTTTAACTAACTGAGCAGATTTTGAGAATACTTTAAACATACGACAAATAACTTCAAAAAAAGGCAGATGTAAAAGTGAGGTCAGAGGTCAAATGTGACATGACATTTAGATGCAAACTATAGTGTTAATATTTAGAACCTCCATATACTGGCAGCATTTCCTAAATCTTCCAATACAAACAAAGGCTGTGAAATTTTAAGCACATAAAGGACATTTTATGAAGGTCTGGCCTTATTTGATGACCATTATTATTATTATTTCAATTATTATCAATCAGTTATTATCACTTTGACCTTCAAATCATTGAGTTAAAGAAGAGGTCAGAGTTCAAATGTGACATGATATTTTAAATCTTTCTATATGTTGACAGCAAACACAACGCTTGCCATATGTTTTAAGTTATAAGACTTTTTGTCACTCTTCGACCAATAAATCACGAGGGTGACCATGAAGACCGTGGTGGATCTAAGACACTTTTTAATGGCTCGTGCTCTACACTACAAAAAAGTTTGATCAGAATTCATTGAAAACTTTTCAAGCTGTCGTGATTACAGACAGAATGATCTTTCCAGTAAGGTAATCATACAGATCATATTGCATTTAAAGGCTGAAGCTGTCATGAGAAACATGTGGCTTGATTTAGGTGTTTTTTTCCTTTTTGAACAACAACTTTTTTGGATACATATCTGGTTGTTCCCTCAATATAAACCATTAAATAGGCTCAGGCACGGAGATCTTTTTATTTTATTTTTTTTGTTTGGCTATTGATAATGTACAAGATGTGATTTATCTTCAACATCACGTGATTCATTTTAAACAATATACTATATAGATGTAAATGCACTATCTTTTCTGAGGAGAATAAGGCTGCATTGACTTTAGGATGAGAGTTGAACATATGCTGCCATCTTAAATCAGGGCCAGCGTCTCTGGGAGTTTACCTCTGTTTTTGCTCTCACTGTTCCGCCCCACTGTCTCTGTTCCATTTGGTAATGAATAAATAAAAGGTCTCTTTACAGGCTTTACAAAGTACTCCATGCTGCATTAAGGATACTTTCTATGTGTTTCCAAACTGCAATTTCCCCTCATCACTCCTCCAGAATCAAGTGAGATTTTTAGCAACTTCTTTTTTTTGGATTAATTTTGAATTTATTAAGCAAAGAAAAGTTGCGTAAGCCTTTCCCCTAAACTAGTTGCCTTTCATTCTGTTTTTGTCCTCACATATTGGTGATAGTTAATGTTGGTGCGCTGCGATGAATCAAAAGAGCAGGCGTCACACATCCATCTTTTTTTTTTTGATTACATGAAACTGTTGCAAATGAGAATCACTCACCCTTATTTCCATGCCCTCTTTTTTCCCATCCCATGCCCAGCTGCGCTTGGTGAAGTAGTTGACTGTGGCAAACTCAATCAAGGCAGAGAAGACAAAGGCATAGCACACAGCCATGAACCAGTCCATGGCGGTGGCATAGGCCACTTTAGGAAGGGAGTTTCTAGCACTGATGCTCAAGGTAGTCATGGTTAGGACAGTGGTGACACCTGAGGAGAGAATAAAAGATCAGCAGATATTTCATTATTTCTGAAATTAAACATTTGCGGTAATTCAATTCAATTTTATTTATATAGCGCCAATCACAACAACAGTCGCCACAAGGTGCTTTATATTAAGCGCAAGCAAGTAAGCAAGTGCCATGTAGTTCCTGTGCATTCAAGAGAAGGAAATTTTCTACCAATGTCTTCAGTCACTGGGAAATTCTCTTCAAAAATTGGATAAATAACAATGTGGCAGTGAACTGTCCCTTTAAAAGAAAGTTACTTACAACTCAGTCATGGTTTGTTTGGGTTTTGCTATCCTGGCACTAAACTCTCACTTTATACTGACCAACATCTCTTTAGAGATTTAAGAGAAAAGAAAGTTGCACTGCAACATAACAATAGTCTGGACTACGGCTAGAAAAAGAAGTGTTAATGTGTACTGTCTCTTTAAACCTAATATAAATTCACTTTCCTGGGTTTGCTATTAGGTGTAAGTTATAAACTAAAAATGATGGTGTAGTTCCCTGCATTGCAGAGCTTTACATAATCTACTGTATGAAATCAAAAAGTCTAGCCTCATACAGCTGACATAACTCAGTGGTGCATAAACATTCAAAGTACACTGGGTCAGTCTTGCAAGTTCAAACAATGAGAATGTAGAATCTCTGTAATGACCCACTACGGAGGATTTTTCAGGCTATGTTCTTCTGTTCAAACCAGTCTGATGAATGTATTTTCTTACTAGACTTATCTACAGTACAACGAATGAAAATGTTGAAAGTTTCCTTTAGCTTATACACAAACAAAGAGACATGCCATTGACCTGCATACAAAAAGCACAACCTGTCTAAGCTGCAGGATTGCGTGCAAAGGTAAATCGCTAAATGACACCACTTTTGAAAAATGAGCAGCAGATCTACATCTGCTAAAATTAATTAAGGCGAAAACGATGTCTTAAAACTTTCTAAATTTCGCAGATCATTTCACAACCTGGCCTTTACAGTCAGGGCGAATGGAAATGAAAGGTGGCTCGGACAATGTTCGCCCATCGAAGCGCATCGCTTTATCTGTTCCAACCTTTCTCATCTGATAAAAGACGGATACAAAGGAGGCTTAAAAAGGCTGCAACAAAAGAGTGATACATGGCTATTCATGGGCTGATTGATTTGCAGGTAATGCATTTCTAATCTTGACTTTGTTCCACCATTTACATAAAATTAGAATATTCATCTGTACAAAAAGCAGTCCTTATTACAACAGCAATTAACTGGTGTCAGAGACGAGGACATCCGGTGCTTGCGGTAACAGTGAGTAATGCTCTTATATAAAATGCAGGTATAAATCAAAAAGTATCGAGTCTTAACTAGAAATATAACTTGGAAGGTGACTGAGGATGCAAAAACAAAAAAGATAAATTAGATAACGCAGGTAATGACAGCCACATGCTCTCACAAACCAAGGGACTGTAAGCATGATGACGAGAAAACTAAAACCAACACAGCTTGAAACTGTCCACTGAGAAAACGGCACTGATTAAAATTACTATCATAATGTGAAGGAAATTGTCCCCTAAAAATTCAACCTCTTATGGGGCTGAAGTGATTCTTAGACGACTGTGTAAGAAAAATCTAATAGTGGGTGTATTTGTGCAGAAGTGAAGGAGATGTGGTTATTCAGACTGCACAAAGGGAGCTGGAACAGTTTTTATCTTCTCAGCAACGCTTTGCCTTGCATACATTTTTAAAATCTTTTGCGCAATGTATGCTTCTGCATGTACCTGTCTAAATGCAAAAATGCTAACCGTGTTTAGAATTACATAAGACTACTCATATTGATTATGCAGCGCAATAACAACAACAACTGCAGGAGAAGGAAAATTACATTCCTTATTTGAGCACCTTTGAGTTGATCACATCTGACGCAATGTTCTTAGCATGAATCGAGTTGGATGGACAAATTGAATCTATTATTATTCATGGCTTAAAGGGAGAAAACACAGTCAATTGTCGCGATGGCAACTGGGAAATGTCTCTATATTAAAGAGGAATTGTTATGAATAATAAAGGAAAAATATGACATGTAAATGCTTTAAATCTTGTTTTATGTTCTCTGTATTAACAGTGAACAGTTTCCTAAGAATACGTAGTGAGGATGTTAGTGTCTGTAGCAGAATAAAGTCAGAACTGATAAAATAAATTATTTTCAGTGCTCCTGTGCACCTGAATGTACTAAGCTAACTAAAGCTAAAAAAAGAGAACTTTTCATGCTCAAACCTTTTCAAACCGTTTACTTGTTTGCCAAGTCCTTAGACAGTGCATTTCTGTTACCTCATCATTTAATAGCCCTCTGATTAACTAGCTTCTTCAATGAATCATTTAATGCATTTATTTGAGCTGGATTTAAAACACGAGATAGCACTCACCGAATACTGTGCGCGCCGGAACGGATTCTCTGTTTAGCCAGAAGGAGACCTGAGACAGTATGACAGTCATGATGCACGGAAGGTAGGTTTGAATCACAAAATAGCCAATTTTCCTTTTCAAATGGAAATATGTTGTCATCACTACATATTCGCCTGAGGGGAAAAGAGACAAACAGAAAAAGATGGAGAGACACAGACAGGGTCATGATTATTAATATACTTGTTCCTCGCTCAGAGCAACACAAGGAAAAATATTTGAAAATTGATGCATTAATGTTTGAACATTAATGTGCATGTGACAAGACGTGAGCAGTACTGAGACAGAAAATGCTTAGATGCTTAAAATATTCCAAAGATGTTGATGCACACTTCCAAACCTTAAGCTACAGACTGTATATAAAAGATGGACACAGCCACTGTGTCAACACCCATTGGCTAGTTTGGCCTTAATGCCTCAAGCTGAGAATGCTAGGTCCTAATGAGCTGAAGGACTGCATTCTCAAAGGTTTCTATACCACATGATTTGATTTTGGAACAACAGGAGTCGCCACCTGCTGGCTGATAGTAAGAATGTAAGTTTAAGTAACTTGCATTGGCTCAGATGAGAAGCTATGTCCATCTTTTACTTACAGCAAGAGTTTTTAACCGTAACAGACAAAAAAGTATAATAATAACTAAATAATAAAGACTGTAAACAAACAGACTGGCAGATGACATCACATTGATGTCATTAATAAGACATATACAAAGTGTCACATTCTTTTAAGTGCACATTTACATGTTCCTTGGGATGTTTTTTGCTGTTCATATAAATATGTCAATTATACTAGCAAATGGATAAACTCACATCTTCTCCAACTGCCAGCTCTCAGTGCCATGTTTGCAATCTGTGTTACGAAGATAGGACGAAAAACAGATTTCCATCCCTGAGGTGTTTTTTTGGTTTTGTTTTTTTCTGAGGAGAATCAAACCAGAGCTGAACGGGCTCAAATCCTCCCATCCCCCTAGATCACTATAGTCCATTAGGTTTAAAGTCTAAGGAAATGAGCTTTTCCAACCGCCATAAACTGAAGTGGTTTATGAAAGAAATCGCACTGACTCTATCATGAATCTTTGGTACTTGTCAGACTTCTGTTGGTCTTCTTCCATCGCTGCAATTCTCCTGACTTACATTCAACCCACCAAACAGCACAAACAATAAAGATACTCTCAAGGAACGCATCCTCTGTAGAGTTAAACAGGTGCAGTTATTTAAAGGAGACACACACATACACACACGCACTTTTATTTCTTGGAAAACAGGAGTGCCATCTAACAAAGTGGATTCTTGGTGCTTTAGTCTCCAAAGACAACTGAAGTCTGACAGATATCAGCGACTCTGTGGCTCACCTCTTGAAAGTTTCACAAGCAAACAGCTTGAATGCAAAGGTTAAATCTCTCAAAACTGAGAGCAGCGTGGCTCGCTGGTAAGCTGTTTTACTCTTGTGATTTCCAAATGCCCCACTAAAGCAACTTTTTATTTTTAGCTTTACCATTACAAGCTCTTTGGTACTTTATCTAGTCCTATTACACCATTAACTAAAGCTGCTGATTGATGTTAGCGGTACATGATAGTGACTGATAAGTATAATAAAAATGCAGCACATTCTTGAAGGTGTTTGAACTCAAATGATCTATTACCAGTGAGATGCTGCTGCTGTAAATATTTTCAGCATATGTGAGTACCCTGCCCTCACCGTGCTATTTCATCCCTTTATATTAAATTGCTAACATAAGCTTTAAGCCCTCCAATGGGGAAATAACAAAAAAATGGATTTTTGTGTGACAGATAAAAAGGATTCTGCAACAGTTTTGAAGATAAGATTTTAAGATCAAATGAATATGCAATCAAAAGAAAGGGCTAGACGATGGTTATTATAGTTGACTCTTGGCTGAACCCCAAAGGAAAGTGAAAAAACCCAAAAAAACCTTTCACCTCTGGCAAACGTCTTCATATTATCTTGGTAAATATGCTGAATAGTTTCAGTCATCATTTTCTCGATGGAGCCAAACAATGCAAGATGAATTTAAAATGACAGAAACTGTTGAGAAACTGCAGACTGTTTATTATTTTGGAAGACAAATTACACAAGAGCCACTATATCTCAGTGGCATAGATTATATGCAGTTTATTTTTCAAAAGTGAGAATTCGATCACTTTTGAGTACTCAAAATCAACTTTTTGCCTGTTCCAGACAAACTCTGATTTACCTTACAGTGTATTCTATGCTGCTGTCTGTACCCAGAATGGCATACCTGTGCTGGAACTGATGGTTTCTTTGCCAATAACATGTCCCAGTAAGTCATATTGGTTCAGCCTGGAGCCGTCCTCTGCCACAGCGACAGACCTCTCGTCACCCTGGGTCCACAGGTAGATCACCTCATTATTTGTGTAAGCATCTGAGCAAACAGAAGACAGCCCCCAAAAAACAGACAGCATAGGTGAGAGATCAAAATATGGGTGCAATATTTTCTGTTTTTCTCCTACCTCTGCACATTGTAGGATTATCAGCATTTGCTTTGGCAAAAAGTTAACTGCTGACTTCAGGATCTAAAAGACATTTTTCCTAAATTCCAGTAAGTCATTCATGATAATACGCAGCGTCCATCCAGTATTGATCGGGCTGATAGACCTGCGGCCGATAATGATATCAGGTTTCACAAAAAAATTCCTTTTACTGTGTTCACCACCCTGAGATTTAATCCTCATGCTTCAGGGGATCACTGACTTTTCCTCCAGTGCCACTTTTTTAACTAAATGTATCCAAAATGAATGCTCTACCTATCAGCATCATTTTATGTTGAGAGATATAAGCATTGCTGCTAAAACATCAAACTATATCTAATGCTGTGTCTGAAACAGTAAATAGCTTATGCTTGTGTATGGATGGTTACATGCCCCGCACTATGAGCATACTGAAAGTAATTTAAGCACATTAACTGTCGCTGTGGCGATGCCTAAAGGGTGCAGCCCAAAGAGGGAGAAGATCTTTATTAATAAAATTTTCTCTTAACTGCTTTTGTTATATTACCAAACATCATACTGCAGTGTAGTTTTAGCCTTTGTTTTGTTTTTCTTCTTTTTTTATAGTTCAGGAAAAGGTTCCTAACACCTGCAGAGAACCATCCCCACTGTTTCAGATGTCTGATCTTATATAAAACACTTTTGTTTTGATCATCTGGACTGACTTACAACTTCCAAACTTCAGAGGACAGGCGTGTGCATCCATCGGGAAATCCTCCAGGTGCATGGGGCACTCGGCATGAATGGTCAACCTGTGGGGGCAGAGGGAAAGAAAATGCATCACTGTTCAGTCTGCAGGATGGTTGAACAGGTCATTATAAACAAATGATGATGCATAATGATGTCAAATATTTCTGCAGAAACATAATTTGGAGCATTTTCATCGAGATATGTGAGACATGTTGGGAAGGTCTTATGCAAATTGCTTTATCGTGCATCAAAATTGGCTTTCCCACAAATCCAAATGTAGACCAAATAATGCTTTAATCTCTGAGTTTATTTCAAAACCAGGGATTTGTGTACGTGTGAATAAAAACTGAAGGAGAACAGATTATATCCTCTCTCTCTCTCCTCCTTTGCATCACCACCCTGTCAGTGGTAATTAGAAGGCAGACATGGACTAAATCTCCAGAGAGCACCCAAATTTGTTTCAGTTGGTCAAATGGCCAGGCCACAAAAGGCACTCTGCAAGTAAACAGAGAAATTGTGCACGTTATCTCACTCATACATGTTTAATCAACGTCGGGGCTACATTTGCCGAGTTCAAACAACGCAGCAACTAATTAAATGCCATCCTTTGGTGCACTAACTCACACATAAACCCCCCAAACTGGGTTATTTAAACTCAATTATACCATATTTACCCTGTACATCCATTGAAAACTGGGTTTTTACTGGGTAGATTCTTTTGGTCTCACTGTTTAATGTTGCAGAAAGTCCCACAAGTTTATTTGTAGCCACAGCCTTAAAATGTGTAACATCGCGGGCTGCCTCCACAGACAAACTTTCTGTTTCCAATTAGCTCATTGTGTTGTATTTACAACAATGCCAAGCCTGTTTTTGCCTCTAACTCGCTTCTGTGCTCTCTGTTGCTGCCTCATTACTGATAAGTGGCTCACTATCTACACAAGCTAATGCTTTACAACATAAATGTGAGAATCTTTTGCATCACACGGCACTTAAAACCAACATTCACGCGCTGTACTTATACTCTGACAGAAACAAAGGCTACAAGAAGACAGAATGGTTTTGATTAAAGACAAAAAGGCAAGCTGTCTTCATACAGAGCTTACAACTATATCATCAGCCTTGCAAAGAAGCGCTTGGGCACAGAGGTACCTTACACAGCATGTGTCAGCAATTTATGGTACTCACAATGACAATGCAGACATGCTGGTGTTTTTTGGGGAGGTGAAGTCTGATAAACTTTGGCAACGTTTACAGAACCATAAAACACCAATGAACACACATTGAAACCTCTAAAAAAAAGGTTCCTTTTTCTGTCAGCCACTTCTCCTTAGCCACCCTTAGTAACCTAGTAAATGGTATTTTTTATATTCTAGAGGTGTTTACATTTCAGACTCAGGATTGTAATCAGGTGAAATGGACCACATGTTCCAATATATGATAGAGAGAAAAAAATTAACGAAAATAATAAAATTGCAAAAATAAAATTAGTACTAGTAGTTTTTTGGTAGGGTTGTCTAACATTACAGTGTGATTGCGTCTAAAAATTAAGTTAAATGTATTTTGCTTAATGTTTCTTTGCTGCCTTCAAGCCGCTGAATGGAATTCTTGTCTGAACCGACATTTCTGCCTTTCTTCTCTTAACCCTTCCTCTTGCCTTACAATTTGTTCTGGCATTTTCTCTAAAATAATATATTCCACTTTAATGTATTTAAATAGACCTAGCTTATTATACTTTCAAAGCCTTATTAAACCTCTCATGCCTAATTTTAGTTTTAGCATATATATATTAAAATATATGTATATATTTAAAATCATATGATAATTAAATATATACAGAAAGAATTGGCCACACTTATATGTGCAACCGGACAAAAAAAATAAAATGTATATATATTATAAAAAAGTATTATTTCACCCATCACTTATGCTCTGTTTTATAACCCGAGACTTATCAAATCAAACAAAAACACTTAACTGATTGACAGTGACTGATTACTCAAATTTAATTTAACAGTATTACTCCTTCCAGTATTAGTTTATTAAAGTACTGCTGATGACGGGTGACAGGAATTGCAGCACTGTTCATAAACCAAAGCACTGGGCAATTTGAAATTGGATCTGATGACTGGTGCAAGTTAAGTGATTGTTATTACAAAGTAAATATTGATGTGCAAAGTGAATGACAATCGACTGAATAGCTGTTAAAACATGTTACTAAAATATTAGTATAATTTGAGTAGAAAGCTTCATTTGGAAAGCATCGTTTTGATCTGCCCCCACAGAAATTCTTAATTTCTTGAAGGGCTTGAAACATTTGCAGGCATATGCAAGAACAGCCAGACTAGAACAATAATAAAGGAAGACAAAGCAAAGAATTAATGAGGCGACTGCTACCACTGTGCTCTTTTGAACAATGTGAGACATGATGGGTACCACCCAACTATTTTCTAATCCAGGACTGTGGGGGCAGCAGTCTAAGCAGAACCCCACCACCTCCTCCATTTCTTGTGTATGTGTGCATATGTGTGTTTCGGATATCAGAAAGCTTCCAAACCACCAGGGAGTAAAAATTTCCCAAGTGTGTCCCAGAACCTCATCGGAATCTTCTCCCTCCTGAACTCCCTTCTTAGAGGGAACCCAGACATCCTTCAGGAAAAGCTCATTGTGTCGGTCCTTTTGTTTTGCTCGCTACTGACTGGTTGTGGCCATAAGGGAGGGTCTGAACAGTTGCTGCCCAGAAAATCAACAGCTATGCCTTGTGGCTGTTTTCACCACAACAGACCTCTATAGCTGCACTGATCCACTGATCAACCTGCTCCTTCAAGGTAGAGTGATCAGTCCACCCTCTTCCAGCAGAGAACCATGTCTTCAGACTTTTAATCCTCATATTGCTTAGCTGCTCTGCAGTGTATTCACTGTGTACAATAATACAACACTTGCCTTCACAGATACCAGTTTTTCTATTTGTTTGATGCCTGTCTTTATTTGTTCATGTGGATCACACCCACTGCCATCACTGAAGTCTTTCTTTAGTTAAATACAATTCTTTCGTTAAAGTAAAAATGTATTTCACTCTGGAAAGGGGGGGGGGGAGACACATGAGTCAATATACCAAATGTTTAAAGACAAGACAAAAACTTGTGTCTTAGCAGCATTGCTTTTGTATTGTGTTGCTTTTATAGTCATATAGCAGCGTGTTAAGTGAAGCATTACTTCTCAGCTTTGGCCGTGTTGAAAGGGCTTTCTGGCATTGTAAATCCCCAAGTACGGCTGTACAGTTGTATTTGTTTTTGGTGGTCTCTAAGCTGTTAAGTCCACTTAGTAAATGATACATTCGCATACAATAAATTCTTGAAACAGCTTTTAATGACAAATATAAACCTGCATAAACCTCTCTCTCTTTAAAAAGTACACCTGAGTCTTCTCACAAATTAATATTAGTGAGGGAGAGAGAAATGCCGAAGAAGAAGCAAGGAGGTTGAGTTAAAATGAGGTGAACTGTAAATGAGTGACAAATGCTTTCACAAAAAATAACCGCAGCAGCGCTGGCAGACAATACCAGCTCTCTAAATTCAGAAATAATGATGCAATCCTGCAGAGCCGAGGCCTTCATAGCATTTGTCAGTTCAGATCCTGTAGACGTGCTGATTAAATGGATTTAAGCAGTTGTTTAGTGAGGAATGTCAATCAAAGCGGGGCGCTATGGTGACGCACTGTGCACTAAACTTCCCGTGAGACAGATTTATATTCTAAAGCCTAATACCTGTGCAGTATGTGGAAATTTAAGGTATCAGTCTCTCCTTGGGAGTGTTTTCCAGTACCTCTAATAACACAGCAATATTTTCATGCAGATCCCCTTCAACTAATCACCCAAAGCTTAAGATAGATGAAAGGTAGCCCTAAAATTGAGAAAGTTCTTTGCCAGTGCTTTCAAAAATACATTCCATATTAAGTTTATGATATGAGTTTTATGATAGAGTCAGTAAAAGTAGGGATGGTCTAAAGAATACTTTGCAGTTTTTCATTAGGGCTTGGCAAGATATCAATATATTTGACAGAATTTTATATAAGACATGACATTATTGATGCTGTACATTGAGCGCGCAGATTTTCACCTACATGCATTTTAGCGGTGCAAAACAGTTAATCTCTCTCGCCGACTGCTCACACATTAGAATTCCAGATCTTAGTGTTTTTACTTTTTTGGCTCAACTCTGCAATGATAGAGGGGGATGCAATTGTAAATTTGTGTTTATTTTCTTTATTCAGGCAGTAAAGATGGTTCACAACATTTGGATTTATGTAATAACACTATTTTTACTTGAACTATTCAGTTCATTTCCATTTTATTTATATAGCACCAAATCACAACAGCAGTCGCCTCAGGGTGCTTTACATTCTTAAGTTAAGACCCTTTAATAATATAGAGAAAACCCCAACGATCAAATAACCACATTTGAACATGCCCTTGGCGACAGTGGGAAGGAAAAACTCCCTTTTAACAGGAAGGAGGGGTAGCCATGTGCTGCAACCATTTGGGGATGATGGGAGGACAAAAAGCACACTGCGGAACTATGGTTTTAATGCTAATATTATATAATGTAATAATATTAAGGTCTCTAATGTATAATAGTGTTAATAATATTAAAGTATGCCATACCCCCCCCCAAAAGCATTGCAATGGGAAATACAGAATTCCTATAAATGAGTTTTATTTGCTGGTGTTTATTTTAGCTCCATAATACAACTAAGCTGGTTCCAAAAATGCTTTTGGGCCTCTAAGGATTATCAAGGATGCCAAGGATTATCATACTTAATCATGCAACTTTTTCATCATCTTACAATACATTTCCCTGCTTATTTAAACATGTTAGTCCTTGTAATACTACATCAGAGCTCAGGGATCTTTGTTGGCCTTGGCAGAACTGCCACAGCATCAGATCTACTCATGTGGGAGCACAAAATGATTTTTTCACCATTTCATTTTCACCCCTAAAAATCTATACTGACCTTGTGCACGAGCATCATAAAAACATTTCTGCAGCCTTTTCATGGCCTAGTGCAAAGCTGGTGAATGCTGATCGACAGGTTCAGTGTTTCCAGCCAAAGCAATCACAGAATTATTTTTGCTGTTATTCAGTACATAATGGTATTCAGTGACTATGACTCTCTTGCTGATGCTATTTACAGTGTACTTTACGCATGACATACACACAATGACACTCCTTTGATCAAGTGAGTATTATTCACTCGGCTGTCTGCGTGTGATACATATATGGGCCAGACTGGCTGCAAGTCAGCTATCTGACTCACAGACAGGTAAAAAGCACAATTTTTATTCCTAAGATGTTAATTTTCACCCTAGTGCCACCACGGTGTTTGCATTCATGCTTTTAAATAAAATGTCTCTAGCTATTGAATTTGCTGATATACACACATCATCTTGTAAAAGCTAAACTAGGTTCTCTCATAATCTTCTAACTTTTCTTTGGAATCCGGGACTATAGTTTCCAATTTTCTTTCTATCAAATGTTCATGTTCTAACTGAAAAAAATATGACAAACATTCCGATTTCATTTGATGAAGGATGAGAATTTTGTAAATTCTCAGCTTGAAAAATGTTTTCAATGATTCAATATTGACTATTATTGCTGCTGTTCCTCTAATAGCCAGTTGAGGCAAGCTGGGAAAGTGAGTCAATAGACTGCCATGTTCAAATATCTGTATATAATGATTAGAGCATATTTATGTAAATATGCCTCTATGTACCCTTAACATTGGGCCAATCTGAATGAAACTTTGCATGGACATGGTGACACATACAGTAACTTCCAGTAACTTCTATATGATCTTTAAAAAACCCATTTATTATAAATCAAAACTAAGTTTTTAAAAATGTTTTAATATTGGCGACAGAATTTTGCTTGACTTGACTAAATACAGGATGATGAATTTGAAAAACCATTACAGGCCTGGCAAAAACTGCCCACAGGCTGGAGTTTTGTTAGTCCAACAAAACAACATTAAGAAGCATTTTTACACACTGATACATAAACTACTGGTCAAAAGTTTTAGAACACCCCATTTTTTTCAGTTATTTATTGTGATTCAAGTTTTTTAAGTCCAATGCATAGCTTGAAATGGTACAAAAGTAAGTGCTCAGATTTAAAAAAATAAGGTTCAACAGGTTCAAGCACAGCTTAATTGTGGTAACAACTCTCAGTTTTAACTGTGAAGAGAAGACTTCAAGCTGCAGGTTTGACAGGACGAGTTGCAGAAAGAAAGCCATTGCTAAGACATCAGAATAAGACAAAGAGGCTTGCCTGGGGCATGAAACACTACCACTGGACTACTGAAGACTAGAAGAAGGTACTATGGACTGATGACACAAAATTTGAAATCTTCACTTCATCACGCAGTATCTCAGTATGCCATCAAGCAGACGAAAGGATGGTTCCACAGTGTGTGGCATCAACTGTCAGACATGGAGGAGGAGGTGTGATGGTCTGGGGCTGTTTTGCTGGATCCAGGGTCGGTGACTTGTACAGAGTGAGAGGCACCCTAAACTAAAACAGCTACCACAGAATTCTGCAGTACCCACTGGTTGCACCTAGTTGGTCAGGGGTTCATCCTACAGCCAGATAGTGATCCAAAACTTAAGTCCAAGACATGCCAGAACTACCTCAGGAAAAAAGAACAAGATGGTAAGCTTGAAAACATGGAGTGGCCAGCACAGTCTCCAGACTTAAACCTCAGTGAGATCGTTTGGGATGAACTGGACAGAAGAGTGAAAGCAGAGCAACCTTTAAGTGCCACACATTTATGAGAACTTCTGCAACAGATATATGAAAAACTTTCTGAAAAACATTTGATGTCTATTGTAGAAAGAATGCCAAGGGTGTGTTCAGCTGTTATATCTGTCAAAGGTGGCTACTTTGATGAGTCAAAAATTAGAAAAATTGGGGTGTTCTAAAAGTTTTTACTGGTAGTGTATAATACTACTACTACTATTACTACTAATAATAAAAATTATCCAGTCGTTAAGTCTGACGTCACTAGCCGTGTCTGGGCCTAAACTCCGCTGCAGGTCCATATATCAAACGATCACTATGGCATTACTGAGAGTTGAAAAACTGTCTAAAGTCTTTCATCTTTAATAAAGTGTGCTCTACCAGGTGTAACAATTGAGTTTAACATCCTGGCATCCATGAAAACGGAATTTATGACATTTAACGGAGTTAGAAGTTAGCAGGAAGTTAGCTTGCTAGCTTCCGTCGAAATACAATATAGCATGTCCTGACTGCGTGGTTTTGGAAACAAATTAAAACGTACAGCTCTGTTATCACTTCAAACATAAATGAAGAAAGAAAACTAAACAGCAGTGACGTTTGTAGGGTTACTGAAGTTTGGCTAGCTGTAGCTAATGATGTGCTACATGACCGCTAGCGACACAGTTATGTTAGTATAATATAAACAAGCTAACTTTTTTTCCACTCGATAAAAGTTAACATGAGTGCTGAGCTGTAGTTACATCCTAAGGTTTTAAAAACTGAGCTTAAATAAATGATTAGTGGTAATAAAAGCCGAGGGAGGTCAACAGTGATTACTGACTGTTTTAGGAGCTTTTTGAGATTAAATAGAAGAAAATACAAAACATTAAACATGTTAACAACACAAAAGCCATATTACTACTTTAGGCCCGGAAGTAGGATTCGTCATGTCATCACTTAACGACCGGATAGTGTATTTGAGGCTTAATGATAGGACAGGAATGCTGTCACAGTCAACTGTATCCCAAGCTTCCTAGCATAAGCTTATAAGGAAGCGAGTCACCCTTTCATACATATGGAGAACTTCTGGCTGTAAAAAGTGCTGAGTGCCAGTGGGTGAAATCTTTTATTATGCTTTCTTTTTTCTTTTAGGAATGTCAAAATAAGGATGCTCTCATGCCAAATTAAGACGGTTAATATATCTACTAAACAGTACCTGCAGATTTTTTTTTCAAGTGATGGTGTTGACCTCCGAATCACCACAAAAAAGGCTCACCTCATTGTGTATAGAAGCGTGCCGTTGTCGACTAGTCGTAGCAGTTTGTTAGGAGTTGTCATGTTGTGGGCTACAGATTTCTTTCCGTTGTGGAAAAAAGTATCAGGAGTCCAGATCTTACTGGCCAGGAGGTTGTTGAGGGGTAAAACCTGCATGGGCCCATCGAACTTCAGCCGCTCATCCCTCCAACTCTGGCGAAAGAAGACATCGATGGTGTACTCCTAATGGGAAGAGAGTTTGAAGAAATAGTTAGCAAGGCAACAATTCACAAAACTGGGAACATGGCTCTCATTCAAGCCTTACGATGCTCTTATTTGTGAAAGCATACACAAAAAAGGCTACATGATGTTAAGTTGAGCCACCTTTTTTGTTCTTTTAGTTCCACTTTTGCTTTTCCTGCTTTAATGAGTCAAAGTGCATTTCCTTTTTTGTGTGACACGATTACTGCTCCGTTAACAATGTTGTGTTTCTCTCACACTTAAGGTGTTGGAGCCTCAGCGAGAAAGCTTGTAGAACATCTGTTTCATGTTTTATTAATGTGCGACACAGTATTTCTGCATCGTCACCAACACACGAAAGACCAAACAAACTAAAACAAATGCGGAAAGTAGCTGTTCAAAATGAATTTATTTCACATTATTCATTCAATGGGTCTTGGTGTCCTAGCAACTGCTTTTCCTCGCCAGCTGTGTACAGCGGCTTTGCAGACAGAGAGCTGAAGCTTGAACAGAGTGAGATGTGGGGAAGCTATGCCACAACAGTGCGCAACAAAGGCACGGTCCACGTGTTGCTAGCCATTTTGGAGCTTTTTGCTTGTTCGCTGAAACAGCTCAGGTACTGTGAACTGTAACTGGCTGCCCCCCTGAGTGACACCTTGATTAAGTCATTTCCCATTGGTTTTAACAACAGGATCCCTTCATGCTCAGTGGGAGAGGGTGTGCAGCTTCCATTCAACACAGCAACAGGTCTCCTCTAAACAGCACAGGATGGACGTCTGTTAATTGATGCGATTGACCTCCTAAAGGCCTGCAAACTTGCAATGCTATACAATAATTACATCGCATCTGTCCTCACAGCAGTGCTCTAAATAAAGCCCACAGAGAGCTTCACAGACTGATAAAAGCCAGAATGTAACTAACGTGTGCAACCCTCAATCACTTTATTTCATCTTTGCCCCATTTATTAATTAACTGCAGTCTCTGGTTCTTTCTTTTTTTAAAATGGTAAATGGTCTGTATTTGTATAGCGCTTTACTTGGTCCTTAGGACCCCAAATCGCTTTACACTATACACAATCATCCACCCATTCACACACACATTCACACACTGGTGATAGCAAGCTTCAGTGTAGCCACAGCCACCCTGGGGCGCACTGACAGAGGCGAGGCTGCCGGACACTGGCGCCACCGGGCCCTCTGACCACCACCAGTAGGTAACGGGTGAAGTGTCTTGCACAAGGACACAACGAGAGACTGTCGGAGCCGGGGCTCGAACCGGCAACCTTCCGATTACAAGACGAACGCCCAACTCTTGAGCCACAATCACCTACTAAAGAGTTCAAAAAGTAAATCGTTAACTGTTTTTCCCATTAATTATGTCAGACTGATTCCTTCATGCATTAAGTTCTCAGTGCTGTCATCAAAGGACTCTCCAGGTCACAAAAAAGACTAATGACCAAACACATGTGGACAGTAGGGCAACCATGACACTGATTTATTGTTCTGTCCTGTGCATCTTTAACAAAAACTTTCCTGCACAGTCTAAGAAAGTTTGCTCTATCTTGGCATACAAAAAGGGAACCCTAGTAAAACATTTAAATCCCCATCGCCAAGGTTATCCTTTTGTTATGCATGTTAATCACGTCTTTATGAGATGCCAAATCAGGCCTCAATTAGTGTAAAACATGCAGTGATGTAAACTGACAATAGTGAGCTTGGCCCAGCTGGGGTGAAGCCATCATTTGTTTGTTTCTTTTGGACAGAACCTTCTGTAAACATGGGGAATTAATTTGAAGACTGAAAGACAGAAGTGAGGAAAAGTATAGTCAATCTCCACAAGGCCAAATGGCACAAACCATTCAGATGCCAGCTGGTGTTCCTCCAGGGACTGAGTGATTGATTTCTCCTTGACAGAGGAGACAGAGCGGAGCGTCTACCCAACAGTGGCTGTCAAATATCTTTTTTTACAGCAGTCAGAATCATGAATAGATTAACTATGGCAAACAACTCTAATTTAAAGAACCCCTTTAAACACATGACACAAGTATTGCAACTGCATTCATTATTTGTCTTCACATAATACACAGACCATTTTTACAAGATTGCTGGCATCTTGCCTTTACTAGAAAGATGGATATTTGGGGTGATTGATGTGCCCTGGATGGATTCAAAGTGAAAGGTGCAGATGCTCTGTCTTTTTTTTACCCAGACAGCCCACAAATAAGTACAAATTCCATAACTGTAAAAACATATTTGCTAAGGATGTATGTTTATTGCTGCAGTTAAAAAACCAATGACATCATAAAAGTGGCAATGGGATCTAGACTACAAGAAAATTTGTGGAGCATGCTGAGCTGTAAATTAAATCATTTGATTGGGCTCTGATAAAAAAAAATGTAAAGATTTGCATTTTATGGGTTGAAAATTCCTCAACAGGATGGATAAGCTCACCTTAAAACAAAAAGGTGCCTTTAAATGTTATGTATTGTGGACATGTATATATAACCTGTGAAGGACTGCTGACCTGTACAGGGTGTACTCTAATCTGTTCACTATCAGCTGAGACTGAATCTATTTCCCTGGAATCCTAGTTGGATATTCAGTTTTGAAAATGAGCAGATGAAGGGTCACCTTGTAAAGCTAGTGCTGACATAAAGTCAACAGCTTAGGACAAATCAGAGGTGGGCGGTCCACTTTCTTCAGCTGCCCATCCTTCAGTGGCAGGTCTGTGAAACAGCGCTCATTTTCAATTAATCCTCAAGGCTCCCGATTCACAGGAGTGATGTTTGGAGCTATAGTTTAAACTTGGACTTCTGATGTCTGTAGAAGCATCACTGTACATTAACCCTAGACATTAACCCTAACCTAGACTTTTAGATGACTTGGCAAAGGTAGCAGCTGGCAGGATGGGCTCCTTGACTCATTTTACTCCTCTCTTGGTCTCGCATTGACTAAACAATAAAAAATGTCCCTGCTTTTGACATTATTGGGGGTATAGCAACAACTCTAATTGATAGAGATGTAGTTTTCCGCAACAACCAATTTTTAGCCCACTGTTTGCGAGCAGATCTATTAAAAAATTCTAAAGCAATCTGCATGAAACTGTTACTTTTGGAGTTGACTGAAATTTGGGTTCATGAATTTTCAGTAGGATTAATTACCGCAGCAACACAGGAAAAAATGGGAGACATTCTCTTGATGACATACTTCTGGAAGCAGGAACTCAGTTCAGGCATGATGTGGAGGGAATAGTCAGCCTTTGTGTGGGTGTGCAGTCTTGGACTGTTGTTCTTTTGTAATTTAGCAGTGGGGTGAAGTTACAGTTTAATTACTATAGAAAGTAATTATCTAAGGCTACCCTTATTATAGTCATTACTTAATGTGAAAAAGAACTAAAGAAAGGTACTTCACAACAAAATACCGTAAATGACTGCTATAATCAATATTAGAATAACAATTAAACCAAGACTAAAGTAAACTAAGATGAGCTCACTGGCCACTTCACTGAATGCCCCTTTTCTTTCAGAATTGCCTTATTTCTTCATGCCATAAATCCACAAGGTGATAGAAACATTCCTCAGAGATTGTGGCTGCAGATGTGCCAGCTGCATGTTTGCAACCCATGATATGAATCTCTTGTTCCACTAAATCCCACAGGTACTACTGGATATATATCTGATGGTCATTTAAGTAAAATAAACTTAATAATATCGCGTTGAAGAAACCAATCTAAGATGATTTGAGCTTTGTCATATGGTGGGTTATCCTGCTGGGATAATGCACCTTTGTCAATGTGGTTATAAAGGAACGGACAACACCAATACTCAAATGATGCTGATTTGGTACTAAACACCCAAAAGATGGCAGGAAAATGTTCCACACAACATTACATCACCGACAGCCTGAATCATTGATACAAGGCAAGATGGATCCATGCTTTCTTGCTGTTTATACCAAATTCTAACTGAATGTCACAAGACTCAGACTCATCAGAAAAAATCAGGACTCGTCATGCTTTTCAAATCTTCTATTGCCCAATTTTGGTGAGACTCGCAAATATAGTTTCCTGTTCTTAGTATACACAAGTGGCAACTGGTGTGGTCTTCTGTTGCTGTAACATATTAGCTTCTGCATACCTTGGTTGTAAAGACTAGTTATTTGAGTTAATTTTGCCTCCATATCAGCTAAAACAACCATTCTCCTCTGACCTCTCGAATTAGCAAGGTGTTTTTGCACAGAGAACTGACACTTAATGGATATTTTCTCTTTTTCAGACCATTTTCTGTAAACCCTATAGACAGTATATGTGGGAAAATTGTAGCACATCATCAGTTTCTGAAATTTTTAGTTTAGCCCATATGGCACCAACGACCATGTCACATTCAAAGTCACTTAAATACTGTTTCCTCCCCATTCAGATGCTTGGTTTGAACTTCCAAAAGTCATCTTGACCATGTTTACATGCCTAAATGCACTCTTACTGCCATGTGAATGGCTAATTATATTTGCATTAAAGAGAAGTTGGACAGGTGGACCCAAAAAAGTGGCCAGTGAGTGTATTTTATGAAAGGATTCAGTCACAGTTACAAAGTCACAAATTATCTTTCAAGCCCTTAGTTGTTTCGAGAAGCAGCAATTTTCAGCTACGGAGCTTTGATGAAGCCTCTGTACCCTCGCTGCTCACCAAAGATAGCAACGAGCTGGGATGGACAGATAGATTAGACAGACATTTTTCTCACATGTTGTGAAAGGACCACAATGTGGCTAAACGGCGAGAAAATCTGGACTTTGATCTGATAAACACAGCGATGACTCCAAATAAATGCTAATAATGACTTTTGAGTTAGATGTGTAAGTACAAACAGTTTCCATTTGATTTTTTTCTCACTATATCATCAACAGATTTATCACCAGCTGCAGATGTTTGATAATAAATGTCCTCTTTTAATGGGCTTAGATGTAAATTAAATTCCTCCTAAACTGCCTGACTGCACCCCTCTAAGA